CTAATCATGTGACTCAGTAGTGTGTACGGCCCCCTCCTGCCTGTATGACCTCCTGACAACGTCTGGGCTCCTGATGAGTCTGCGGATGGTGTCCTGGGGGATCTCCTCCCAGACCTGGCGTGTGGCGCCAGGGCATCAGTGAGCTCCTGGACAGTCTGTGGTGGTACTTGGTGGTGTCAGATACATAACGTCCCATAGGTGCTCAGTTGGATTTAGGTCAGGAGGACGAGAGGGCCAGTCAATGGCATCAGTGCCTTCATCATCCAGGAAGTGCAGACACTCTGGACACATGAGGCCGGGTCCTGCACCAGGAGGAACCCAGGGCCCACCAGCGTAAGGTCTGACAATCACTAACAGCAGTCAGGGTTCCGTTGGCTATGACATGGAGGTCTGTGCAACCCCCCAAGGATCTGCCTCCCCAGACCATCACTGACCCACCACCAAACCGGTCATGCTGGATGATGTTACAGGCAGCGTAACGTTCACCACTGCGTCTCCAGACTCTTTCACGCCTGTCACATGTGCTCAGTGTGAACCTGCTCTCATCTGTGAAGACAACGGGGCGCCAGTGGTGGACCTGCCAGTCCTGGTGTTCTCTGGTGAATGATGGAGCTGCACGGTGCTGGGCTGTGAGCACAGGTCCCACTAGAGGACGTGGGGCCCTCATGCCACCCTCATGGAGTCTGTTTCTGACAGTGTGGTCAGAAACATGCTGGCGCTCCCAGTGTAACGGCCAGTCTTCTGGTATCTCCCCCATGGCCTTGAGACTGTCCTGAGGGAGCTGGACTACCTGTGCAACCTGATTGGGCTGCAGGTACGACCTCATGCTACCGGTAGTGACAAGGACACTAGCAGAAGACCAAACTAGAGAAGAATCAGTCAGGAAGGATAAGGAGAGAGGAACTGGTGTCTGTGGACACCACATGTAAAACCATTCCCTTTTTGGGGGTTGTCTTGCTTTTGCCTTTCCATTGCACCTGTTGTCACTTTGATTTGCACCAAAGCAGCTGAAATTGATTAGTCTTACACTGTGACCATTAAGTGTTCCCTTAATTTTTTATCATCCAAACAGTTGTATGAGGATATGTGGTAGCGATGCCGCTCAGTGTATTTGTTGCCAATTTCAACACAGAGGAATATCTAAACTGTCTGATGGTCTCTGCGTCTAGGACCCTGAGATCCATGAAATCTTCCCGACATTTGGGCCGAAGTCTGGAAACACCATGCTGACCATCAGAGGAGCCTTCCTGGACACTGGGAACAAGCGAGAGGTGACGATAGGGAAAGCAGCCTGTAAGATCCAGAGGTTGGTTCACAGTCTTGTTTTTATCATTTCTCTTCTTTCTCTTGTTTCTTTTTCTCAAAGCTCTTTGTAATCAAGTTTGTCTGTCATTTTCTCTGCTTTTTTCTTTTGTGTAGATTGTAGTGTACACAGGCACTGTACAGGGATTGTGTTTGTTCCACATACTCAAATGTGTCTTGACATTACTGAAATTTTACTGAGAAAATCTAACCTATGAAACGTAGGACTGGCTATAGGTCAAAGGTCTTTCTTTCTTTTCCCGCTCTTTGCCTCATTCTGTCTCCTCTCCTGCTCAATTAGAAATGCATGAGTATGAGACAATGGCTCCCACTGTACAAACTAACACAACAATATATCCTGTGTGTTTGCTCACTCCCCTCACCCCGACATACACCATCAGCTTGTCGTCCGCCATGCTGACCTGTAAGACGCCGCCAAACGCTGTTCTCTCCAAGCAACCCGTGAAGCTGACGATTGACTCGGTGGAGCGCCACACGCCTGCGCTGTTCACCTACAACCAAGACCCCATCATCAACAGCATCCAGCCGTCTCGCTCCTTCGTCAGGTCAGTTACAGTCATTCTGAATGGGGGTTTCAGTCTTATCCTATTCTCCATGTCTGTGTTTTGGCCGCACTGAACTACTTGTAGGTTTCAATTTTCAGAAATGGTTTAGATATCAGTATTTTTTAATGTCAACTTGATAAATTTCCTCCAAATCTGAGCTCTTGCGTGTTTCCTCACCTAAAAGGAGATCTGAGAGAGGGAAAGTGAGGACGACTGTGACTGAGAATGTCTGTGGATGAGGCAAGACAGATTAATGCTTCAGTTTTACAGCAGGAGGAAATGAGTAGGAGGTGACGAGTGGCTCTAAACTGCTAACGCTAACAGCAGGTCCCGTCCCAGTGGGGATCTACTGTGTCTCTGTCTGATGCTAACGCTAACATCCGTTCTCATCACCCCCTTCCTCACTGTAGTGGAGGCTGCACAGTGTCGGCTCATGGCTTCTTCCTCCAGTCCGGCCTCCAGCCCCAGATGGTCCTCACCACCGGTCAGGATGCTCAAGTCTTCCATGTGGTGAGTACAAGAAGGGTTTCTTATCTCCAAATGAGATATTTGTCATTTAGATTACAAAGTTTGCACAAGTTTAAGCCTTGATGAAGCAATAAAAACTTCCTCTCTGAGCAATATTTCCCAGCAACAGAACTTTAACTTGAACTCCAGAATATTTTAAAGGAATACTTCACACCACAAATGACCATTTGTGTATCACTTACCCACTCCATGTTACGCTGAGTTCGTGAAGAAAATGTTGTCATATCGCATGCCTCTGCGATGAACGAAAATCGAATGTAGATAATTCTTGCTGAATTGGAGTCACGGGTCCACGTTTAACAGCAGCAAAACTATATCAAAACATCTGTTTATAAGCTCTCACACAACTCATGAAGTGTAATCCAAGTCTCAGTTATCCAGTCGTATGCTTAGTACTTCCCAAACAGCCCTTTTCCAACGGGGAGCTGAACTAAAGTGAAACTTATTTGTGCTGTCTTGAAAGCCAGACTCCATTCACAAAAACTGTAGTTTGACATCGCTGAACACAGAAGGTGCTGGGCTATCGTTGCCTCGATCAGTTAATTTGTTGTGTAATTGTGTAACTTTGGCGTTTTAAAGGGTTAGTTTGAAGTCACACAACACAAACACACTAACTGATTGAGGCAGTGGTGGACCAGCAGCTTCCATTTTCAGGGAGGTAAAATTACCTAATTTCTGAATGGAGTCTGGCTTTGAAGAGAGCACAGAAAAATTCACTTTGTTCAGTTCCCCTTCAAAAAAGAAAGAAAGAAAGTCTGTTACAGAAGTACTAAGGATACGACTGGTTAACTGAGACTTGGATGATACTTCACAAGTTGTGTGGGACTTACTGAAGAGATGATTAAATACAGTTTTGCTGTTGTTATACATGGACCCCTATGATTTAAAGTCATCAAGACTTTTGGCATTTTTGGATTCTTCGTTCACAGGGGAGAAGTTCTCCTCACAAATTCAACATGACACAGGGAGAGTTAATAATAAACAAATGATCATTTGCGGGGTGAAGTATTCCTTTAAGGTGCTGTCCATGCATTATGACTGCAAGAACCCAGTGCAGGTCTCCAAAAAGTCCCTGCTCCTGAGGTGATAGTTTGTAGACTGCAAACAGGGAAGACCTCACAGTTCTGTGCAAGGCTGATGGGTCAACCACAAACCTCATCAGCTTGTTACCAGTATCAATATTAGCACTTGGGAGGGGAATTTCTTTTGATGCTATGAACATTGAAACCTTGTAGGGAGAGAAATAAGAATAAAACTTAATTAGATTTACTATTTTTTTGGTAAAAGAGTCATACAAAAAACTCAGGAGATCATTGGTACTTTCCAACAGTTTCCTTTCTGGCCTCTCAAACTTCCTTTTGCATCTCTTTACATCTCCACCATCCATTGGCATCTTAAATAAAACCATTGTTTTAATCTCTGTAGTTCTTGAGATGCAGTGGAAACACACACACACACACACACACACACACACACACACACACACACACACACA